GAATGAAAATCCATTGAAAATAATGCCTCGGTTTACTAATTTTTTTTTCGCAATACGAAGCGTTGATAGTGCCGGCCCCGAGCTTTTAAAGTGCACTTTATAAAGATTTTTTGAACAGATAAAAGGCTTTTGTTTTACTTTTTTCTGACCTCTGGAACAGATTAATTGGTTTTCAGTGTATTCCTATGGGAAACTGTGTTTCGGTTTATGAAATTTTTGCAATACGTAACGTCCCGGAGAACGCATTAAATTCGTAAACCGAGGTATGTCTGTATTAGAAGAGTTTTTCACATTTTGGAATGAGGGGGCGTCTCGGGACTGTCCATAATTTTAGAGGGTGCCTTGACTGAAAAAAGGTTGAGAAACACTGATCTGGATGATATTCAGGAGAACTGAAAATATTGTTTTATTATTTTTATTATTATTTATTATTATTTATTATAAATAATAATTTATTATTTATTATTTATCATTATTAATATTATTTATTAATATTTATTATTATTTATTATCATTATTAATAATATTTATATGTATTATTAATATGTATTTATTATTAATATTTATATTATTATTATTATTTATTATCATTATTAATATTGTTTATTTTTATTAATAATTATTATAATTATTAATTTATTATTAAGTATTATCATTATTATTATTTATTATCATTATTAATTATATTTTTATTATTATTATTATTATTATTATTATTAATATAATTATTTATTATTATTTATTATCATTATTAATACTATTTATTATCATTATTATTTTAGTATTATTATTATAATATTATTAATTATTAATTATCATTATTAATATTATATATTATTATTATTTTAGTATTATTATTATTATTATTATTGTTATTATTTATTATCATTATTAATAATATTTATTATAATTATTATTATTTTAGTATTATTATTATTATTATTATTATTAATATTATATTAATTATTATTATTTTAGTATTATTATTATTATTAATAATAATTATTTATTATCATTGTTATTATTTTTTATATTATTATTATTTTAGTATTATTATTAATTATCATTATTAATATTATATATTATTATTATTATTATATATATTTAGTATTATTATTATTATTATTATTAATTAATAATTAATAATATAATAATAAATATTTATTATTATTATTATTATTGTTATATATTATTATTCCATTATTAATATATTATTATTTATTATTATTATTATTATTTATTATTATTATTTATTATCATTATTAATATTATTATTTTATTATTATTATTAATTATCATTATTAATATATATATATATTATTTATTTTTTAGTATTATTATTATAATTATTATTAATATTATTTTATATTATTATTATTTTATTATTATTATTATTATTAATAATAATTATTTATTATCATTATTAATAATATTATATATTATTATTATTATTTTTTATTATTATTATTATTATTAATATTAATATAATAATATTAATTATTATTATTATTATTTATTATTATTATTGTTATTATTTATATTATCAGTATTATTATTATTATTATTATTATTATTATTATTATTATTATTATATTAATTAATTATTAATATTATATATTATTATTATTTTAGTATTATAGTATTATTATTATTATTAATAATAATAATAATAATAAATAATTATTTATTATTATTATTGTTATTATTTATTATCATAATTATTATTTTAGTATTATTATTATCATTATTAATATTAGTATAGTATTTTTGTATTATTATTATTATTAATATTAATTATTTATTATTATTGTTATTATTTATTATCATTATTATTATTATTATTGTTATTATTCTGGACCATCAGTGTACAGAGCTTTACATTCTACACGGATACAATACAGTTACAATACAATTCAACGCAAAAGATCTTACAATCTAACAGAAAATATTTTTGTTTCTAGTTCCAGACCTATAAATTGTTACATGTTGCGGATGTTGGGGGTGATGGTGGGATGGATGTGCTGATCCCCGGGATAAAGTATCCTTTCCTCACAGTGTGCAGCAGTATACATGGTGCATAGGAGATCTATTGCACACCCCTATAGAGGAGATGCAGAATATTGCACACCCCTATGGAGGAGATGCAGAATATTGCACCCCCTATGGAGGAGATGCAGAATATTGCACACCCCCTATGGAGGAGATGCAGAATATTGCACACCCCCATAGAGGATATGCAGAATATTGCACCCCCTATGGAGGAGATGCAGAATATTGCACACCCCATAGAGGATATGCAGAATATTTGCACCCCCTATGGAGGAGTTGCAGAATATTGCACACCCCCATAGAGGATATGCAGAATATTGCACCCCCTATGGAGGAGATGCAGAATATTGCACACCCCCATAGAGGAGATGCAGAATATTGCACACCCCATAGAGGAGATGCAGAATATTGCACACCCCATAGAGGAGATGCAGAATATTGCACACCCCATAGAGGATATGCAGAATATTGCACCCCCTATGGAGGAGATGCAGAATATTGCACACCCCATAGAGGAGATGCAGAATATTGCACACCCCATAGAGGAGATGCAGAATATTGCACACCCCATAGATGAGATATAGAATATTGCACACCCCCTATGTAAGAGTTGCAGAATATTGCACACCCCATAGAGGAGATGCAGAATATTGCACACCCCCATAGAGGAGATGCAGAATATTGCACACCCCATAGAGGAGATGCAGAATATTGCACACCCCATAGAGGAGGAGATGCAGAATATTGCACACCCCCATAGAGGAGATGCAGAATGCAGAATTGCACCCCCCATAGAGGAGATGTAGAATATTGCACACCCCCATAGAGGAGATGCAGAATATTGCACACCCCCATAGAGGAGATGCAGAATATTGCACACCCCATAGAGGAGATGTAGAATATTGCACACCCCCCATAGAGGAGATGTAGAATATTGCACACCCCTATGGAGGAGATGCAGAATATTGCACCCCCCATAGAGGAGATGTAGAATATTGCACACCCCATAGAGGAGATGCAGAATATTGCACACCCCATAGAGGAGATATAGAATATTGCACACCCCCATATGGAGGAGTTGCAGAATATTGCACACCCCCATAGAGGAGATGCAGAATATTGCACACCCCCATAGAGGAGATGCAGAATATTGCACACCCCATAGAGGAGATGCAGAATATTGCACACCCCTATAGAGGAGATGCAGAATTTGCACAGCCCCATAGAGAGGAGATGTAGAATATTGCACACCCCATAGAGGAGATGCAGAATATTGCACACCCCCATAGAGGAGATGCAGAATATTGCACACCCCCATAGAGGAGATGCAGAATATTGCACCCCCCATAGAGGAGATGTAGAATATTGCACCCCCCATAGAGGAGATGTAGAATATTGCACCCCCCCCCCCCCCATAGAGAGGAGATGCAGAATATTGCACACCCCATAGAGGAGATATAGAATATTGCACACCCCCATAGAGGAGATGCAGAATATTGCACACCCCCATAGAGGAGATGCAGAATTATTGCACACCCCCATGGAGGGAGGAGATGCAGACTATTGCACCCCCATGGAGGAGATGCAGAATATTGCACCCCCTATAGAGGAGATGCAGAATATTGCACCCTCATAGAGGAGATGCAGAATATTTCACCCCCCATAGAGGAGATTGCAGAATATTTCACCCCCCATAGAGGAGATGCAGAATATTGCACCCCCATGGAGGAGATGCAGAGAATATTGCACACCCCCATAGAGGAGATGTAGAATATTGCACACCTCCATAGAGGAGATGCAGAATATTGCACACCCCCTATGGAGGAGATGTAGAATATTGCACACCCCCATAGAGGAGATGCAGAATATTGCACACCCCATAGAGGAGATGCAGAATATTGCACCCCCCATGGAGGAGATGTAGAATATTGCACACCCCCCATAGAGGAGATGCAGAATATTGCACACCCCATGGAGGAGATGCAGAATATTGCACCCCCCATAGAGGAGATGCAGAATATTGCACCCCCATGGAGGAGATGCAGAATATTGCACCACCCCCATAGAGGAGATGCAGAATATTGCACCCCCATGGAGGAGATGCAGAATATTGCACCCCCATGGAGGAGATGCAGAATATTGCACCCCCATGGAGGAGATGTAGAATATTGCACCCCCCATAGAGGAGATGCAGAATATTGCACCCCCCATAGAGGAGATGCACCCCCCATAGAGGAGAGAGATATATTGCACCCCCCATAGAGAGAGATGCAGAAGAATAGAGGAGATGAGAAATGCACCCCCATGAATTGCACACCCCCATAGAGGAGATGCAGAATATTGCACCCCCATGGAGGAGATGCAGAATATTGCACACCCCATGGAGGAGATGTAGAATATTGCACCCCCCATAGAGGAGATGCAGAATATTGCACCCCCATGGAGGAGATGCAGAATATTGCACCCCATGGAGGAGATGCCGGGAGAGGGACACTTGTGGAGGGCAGAGCTCATTACAATAGCAGTGCTGAGCTCTCAGATGTCAGTGTCATTCCAGTCGTGTCTCCTCCCCCTGGGCGGGGCCTCGGAGGGGGGAGTGACAGATTGTCTAGGCTCAGGCTGGAGGCTGGCTGACACTGTAGGAGAAGCAGCCGGTGTGATCGCAGGTCGGGCTCAGGAACAGCTTGGATTTACCGGCAGGAGAGCCCCGCCAATCGCCCCGGACCGGCCGGCCCCGCACTGGGATTATTCTTCTTCTTGATACATTGTTGCAATCATGGATTGAAAGTCTTGTGGCTCCGACTTTGCTGGGATCTGTTACATTGTCTCCGCGGGTTGCACGCTTTCCTGGATCCATGGAGTGACCCCGGCTTCTCCTGGCTCGGAAGATCTCATATCATTGGTGGGAGTGGGGGGTCCTCTGCAGGGGATCTACAGTCCTGTCTGGGCGGATGTTACTGGGAACCATGAACTTTCTGCTTTCTTTTCTCTGGGGCTTGCCTTTTCTGCTCTCTATCCACACTGCCCAGGTAAGATCTATAGTACTGAATGAGCCCCCTGCACACAATGGAAGAATGCCCAACCTATACCCAATGGAAGGGCGTGTTCCCATTTCCAGGGTGGGGGGTGGGTGCAGATGGGAGATGGGGAAGGTTCCTCCAGGGTGCAATGTGGTGACCCTTCACAGGGCATTCTAATGGAAGGTGAAAAGTCTTCTCGGAAGTTTTGCTGCCTTTTGTTGTCATTGGAGGTGTTCCTGGACTCTGAATGGAGAGCAGGCAGGCTTCCCCATGGTCTCTAGGAACACGCTAATGGATTACTTCATTTCCCTGCCTGAAACTGGCTCCAGGCACCAGCCCCTTTCCTTGGGCACATTGCATTTTCCATAAATAACCGCACTACACAAGGGACGTCATTTCTAAAGTCTACGCCACCTTCCGTATGGGTGGATGGATCCCTTTCTCAACCTTTGTAGCCCAGGGGAACCCCTATAAAAAAAACAAAAAGGTCTTGAGGAACCTCTAGTAGAAGGAAGCTCTACTAAAACCAGTTAATCAGAGGTCAATGGGAAAAATGCCCCCCTTACATTGGTGGTCAGTAACCTTTTATCAACCTTTGTACCCCAAGGGAACCCTTAAAAAAAATTATAGGTCTTGAGGAACCTCTAGTAGAAGGAAGCGCTACTAAAACCAGTTGATCAGAGGTCAATGGGAAAAATGCCCCCCTTACATTGGTGGTCAGTAACCTTTTATCAACCTTTGTACCCCAAGGGAACCCTTAAAAAATTACAGGTCTTGAGGAACCTCCAGTAGAAGGAAGCTCTACTAAAACCGGTTAATCAGAGGTCAATGGGAAAAATGCCCCCCTTACATTGGTGGTCAGTAACCTTTTATCAACCTTTGTACCCCAAGGGAACCCTTAAAAAAAATTACAGGTCTTGAGGAACCTCTAGTAGAAGGAACCTCTACTAAAACCAGTTAATCAGAGGTCAGTGGGAAAAATGACCAAATTATATTGGTGGTCAGCAACCTTTCTCAATATTTGCACCCCAAGGGAACCCCTAAAAAATGACAGGTCTCAAGGAACCTTTAGTTGAAGAAACCTCTACTAAAACTGGTTAAGCGGAGGTCAGTGGGAGAAATGCCCAAGTTATATTGGTGGTCAGAAACCTTTCTCAACCTTTGTACCCCAGAGGAACCCCTAAAGAAAAAATGTATCGGTCTTGAGGAACCTTTAGTAGAAGGAAAGTCTACTAAAACCGGTTATTTAGAGGTCAATGAGAGAAATGCCCAAATTATATTGGTGGTCAGCAACCTTTCTCAACTTTTTGTAACCCAGGGAAGCTCTATAAAAAAAAAAATGACAGGTCTCAAGGAACCCCTAGTTGAAAGAACCTCTATTAAAACCAGTTAATCAGAGGTCAATCTAAAAAAATGCCCCCCTTACATTGGTGGTCAGCAACCTTTCTCAACCTTTGGGAACTCCTAAAATAATTTACAGGTCATGAGGAACCTCTATTAAAACCAGTTAATTGGATGTCAGAGGGATAAATGCCCCCCTTACATTAATGGACAGACCTTTTCTTAACCTTTGTACACCAGGAGAATCCCTAAAAAAAAAAGAGAGGTCTCAGGGAACCTGTAGTAGAGGAAGCCTCTACTAAAAAAAGTTAATCAGAGATTATTGTGGAAAATTCCCCCCCATACATTGGTGGTCAGCAACTTTTCTCAACCCCTAAAATAATACAGGTCTGGGCTAACCCCTACTAAAACTGGGTAATTGTGAGTCCATGTGAAAATGCCCCCCTTATATTGATGGTAAGCAATCTTTAATAACTCCTAAAATAAATTACAGGTCTCAGGGAACTTCTACTAAAACCAGTTAATCAGAGATTGAGAAAAATGCCCCCCTTATGTTGGTGGTCAGCAACCTTTCTCCATCTTTTGGAATCACTGAAATAATTTACAGGTCTCAGGGAGCCTTTACTCAAACCGGTTATTCAGAGGTCCATGGGAAAAAATGCCCCCCCCCCTTACAAATTTTCTACCCCAGGTGAACCCCTAAAAAGAATTACAGGTCTCAGGGAACCTTTACTAAAACAGGTTAATCAGAGGTCCATGGGAAAAATGCTCCCTTACAAGCTTTCTTCCTCAGGGGAACCCTTCAAAAGATTTACAGGTCTCAGGGAACGTTTAATAAAACTGATTAATCAGATGTCAATGGGAAAGATTACATTGGTGGTCAGCAACCTTTCTCAAGCTTTGGGAGCCCCTAAAATAATTTACAGGTCTGGAGTAACCCCTGATAAAATCGGTTAGTTGAGGGTCAATGGGGAAAAAAACGCCCCCCTTACTTTGGTGGTCAGTAGGAAGAAAGCATCCCGTAGAGTGGCGGTCAAAAATGTCACCCTTACAGTCAAATAGATCCCTGGTCCCACGCTGCTGGCTTTGGCGGTGGCACTGAAACTAAGCAGGCACTGTCAAATAGGAGCTTAATCAGCTGAAGGAACCTCTAGCAACCTCTGGTGGAACCCTGGTTGAGAACGGCTGGTGGACATTCTGACAATGTGGACCTTGAAATATTGCATACGGCTTTTGTTTTCAGCTCACCTGAATATGTGCAGACTTGGGCAATGCTGAGATCCTGATGGCCAGGATTTCATAAATTGCATAATTCTCCCTCACAGGAGATACATCTGCATGCAACATATTCAGGAGAGTTGTAAATTTGCGATTCTCCATTAAGTTTTGCCGAATGAGGCTGATCTATGCATCGGCGTGCATGTTGCTGGTGGAAATGTTCGTGTAGCTCAAGTCTGGTGGGTAAGGCTGAGGCAGATCGGTGCAGATGTGGGTCATTTACATTACAATCCTTTTGTCCGAGAGCTGGAAGCAGTTGATTATGGTGGGAATGGATACATAGCATTAGGAGCAATGGTTGGCGTTGGGTTCCAATGCCCATGTTGATGCTTTCACAAGCTTTCCTCTAGTCCCCTGACTTCTGAATCCCAAGACTGACAGGCAAGGGTCACGTGTGTCTAGTACAGGGTTGGACAAATTCAGGAGGTAGTCTGTCCCATCCCAGGAGCCAGCTCCTTTGACAATGACTAGAGAGAACCTCAAAACTTAGGTGCCAGCTGTAATTTTTGAGGCTCGTTGGCCACCTGGCACCTAGGATCTGTCCAGCCATGGTCTTGTATATCCATAATCTTCTTCTAAAAAAAACCCTGATTCAGATTGGCCGAGTGGACACTTTATAAACTCTCCTCAAAGTTGCCGTGACTAAGAGCGTAGAGATCCCCAATCTGCGAGTCGTTCCTGACCCGTGACCACTCTTTACCTACCAGTTTATTGATGGTATGAATGATTAGCAATGGCTTGTTAAACACGGCCAGATCCCGGCCAAATAAACCTCGTCCTTTACCCGGATCCTACTACAGCAAAGTGTATAGGTGGCACCAAGCGCTGAGTATTTCATTCTTGAATGAATGTGCTTCTGTGCCTGAGAGGATCTCCCACTGTGAGAATTCGCTGTGGATTTTTTTTTTCTTGGTGTAAAAAAAAAAAAAAAAAAAATCAATCTCTTTCAAAAAAAAAAAAACATCCTGTAGTCAATTGGATTATTAAAATATTTATGAAATTTGGTGGTAGCACTGAGAGGGCATTTAACCCCAACTGCCCCCCCCCCCCCCCACCCAGGGAAATTACCCATTTTTTTTTTTTTAACCGTTTGCTGGGAAAACCGGTCTGCTATATTGCCATAGATACAAGGCCGGGAGGAGTTAGCGGGGCAGCGTGTGACCAGACTGTTAATGGTCGCTCAAGTTTCTTCTGAGGGTTACTTGGCCCCCTTTTTTTTTATTCTGACGACAGATCAGCGGGGCGGGTAAGCGATGCGGCTCAGGCTGCACGTACGCTTTTTTCCAAATGTAAACCACTCTTGAGACAGACTAAAGGCCTTTAAATCTCTTTCATGTGACTGGGCCAAGCGGGTTTTTTTTTTTTTTTTTTTTTCTCTCCTTCATCTCACCGAGCACATTGCCAGCAATAAGTAGGCCTCAGCCCATGGTGTGAGTTGGAAATGCCCTTGAATGCAGACACTGTGCACTTTCCTGACCGATCATGGCTTCCTCCCTTGCACTTTGAGGTCCATGTGAAGCCTTCTCTTTTAGCGAGGGTCCTTGTCTGCTCCTAGGCTTTATTTTTACTAGTGAGCCTAATTGTTTTTTCCAAGCATTTACAGTTGCACATCTCAGCTAATGAGGAAGGAGAGATTGTGGCAAGACAGGAGGGGAGGGAGATAGTTTAACCCCTTCGCTCCCTCGAAAGCTGAGCCTTGTGACTCAACTGTGATCGAGGGAGGAGACCAGGCACCAAGCTGTTCAATACAGTCATTGTAAGGCCTGTCCCTTCCAAGGACACGGCGTCTTTAACTGCGTTCGTTCACATGGTCTATTAATGTTGTAATGTTGAGAGTTTTCCAAATAATTGGCTTAGATTGATGTGGCAAATGAAATATGGAAGTCAGGGACTGAAGGCAGCTGTTTAGTCCTTGTTTCCATTTCTAAAGCATGTCCTACTCCTATGGTCGTACGAAGACCAGAACACGGGGGGCACCTTTTATATAGGACAAGGAGGTAGAGGGAATTCGGACACTTTCACACCATTTGGGGGCCACAATCTACGACCTCTCAAGAGTCGGCAAGGTCAGGCTTTTTTTTTTCTTTTGGCTATCGCTGGCTGTTCTACCTGCCGAAGACGTCAGCGAAGTGTCACATGCGTGACTTCTAGTGACCTGTAGTACAGCTTTAACCCCTTGGTTTATAGAATAGTTCCTCTTTGTGTTGATGTGAAATGATATGGGAATATATACGATGAAGTTAGATACTATGGGGAGAGATTTACTAAAGTTGGAGCACTCGGAATCTGGTGCAGCTCTGCATGGTGGCCAATCATCTTCTAACTTCAGCTTGTTCAATGAAGCTTTGACAATGAAAGCTAAAATCTGATTGGTTTCTATGTAGAACTGC